AAATCATTGATACATGTGAATTGCCCTATGTATTTCATCATTATTCTTTAATTCTCTTATCTTTAAACGTATATATATTTAGCTTTCTTGTTTATATGTCTGTCGTATTTCAGGGGAGTTTTCACATAGGGCTAACCTCTTAACTTCCTTTATATTTTTCGTTTTGTATCTCGCTTTATACTGCTTTTATATGTGTATTTGTATAGTGTTGATTTGCATCTGGAATAAATCTATATTGTATTGTATTGTATTGCATTGTATTGTATTGTATTGTATTATGACGTCACAGTATGTTTACGTGCTGTGAAACAATTGAAATTTATATTCTCTCTGAAAGTAGAACTTCATTGTGTCTTTTTTTGATACATTTATCAAAGATTGCTTATGTACATTGTATTCGATGTGCATTCACTCTTATCCCATTTGGCGACCATAATCCTTAGCGTCAAAACAATAGAATGTTTTGATGTGATTTCATAATGAAATAGGGCAATTCAATCTGTACAATCCTTTTTTTATGCTCTTTGCTTTTAGAAGTAAACCTCATGTTGCCAAGCCCACCTTTGGAGCACATCAGTGCGCATGGCAGTCTTTTTTTTTTTTTTTGTATTTTCCACATCCTTTGATATACCGGGATGGGTTTCCTTTGTTTTATGCTGATAACTTTTAGAAGTGAACCTCATGTTGCCACGCCCACCTTTAAAATACTACGGTGCGCATGTCAGTCTTCCGATTTTCTTTGTATTTTCCACATCTATTCATTTACCGGCACGAGTTTCCTTTGTTTTACACAGTAAAAGTAAAAACCTCATGTTGCCACGCCCATCACCGTAATACCTCACTGCCACTCTATGTCTGCTTTTCTTTGTGTATTTTTCACTCCCTTTGATCTAAAGTGACGTTTGCTGCTGTGTAGAATTCTGTTCCTGCTCTACTGAGTGCCTTTTCCTGAAGACCAATTTCCTCGCTGCTTCCCGAAAGTCAGAYAAAAATATCAAATAGATCACAGGACTGATACAAGAGTTACAAAGCGCGAGGAAATCCACTAGGTAATCTAGTAAATACACATCATAGCAAAGAAAGAGTTTGTCATTATAATCACTTTTAGGAAGAGATTCCGCGACCTTTCGTATAATAAATGGTACGTAACAACCGAAATACAAGACCAAGGACCATAACACCATTTTTATTGCCCTTATCATTCGTTTAGACCTTGCTYGTCTTTGGGATTCGGAAAGGCTGGCTTGTACTGCTTGTCGAGGTGAAAGCCTTCTTAAAGTCAATAAACTTAGAACACCTATTATACAAAATGCAAATATGAAAAATGCAATAATGGAAGTTCCTAATATCATTGGTTCGTCAACGGAAAGACAGCGGTATTTTCCCTGTTCGTCTAATTTGTACGATTCAAATGATTGCTTTTCCASCGCAATGGCCACCGAGATCAACCATGTATAAGACAGCTCCCCAATGCGTCTTGTAAGTGTGTATGGTTGGGATATGTGCACCATGGCTCTCGTTGCTCTAAATCTCTGAATGCTTATTATTACGAGAGTGATTAGGGAAATCATTAACGAGAAAATGAGAATAAACTTCAAACRTTTGCAAATAGTTTCACCTCTTGATAAACTACTTTCAGCCCATAATGGAGCCGTACCCAGTACAAATGGACCTTTTTGGCAAAATATGGTAGCTACAACGATCACATCTGCGACGSACATGTTGATTATCAAATGATGAAGGCTTTTTCGCACAGTATACTTCATAGCCAAGAGGACGACGAAAARGTTATTTAAGATGCCAAATCCACCAACCAGGAAAAACGCAAAGATCTTAACAGTTCTTGACAAATTGGAATCCTTTAGGTGGCAATGATAAACATTGCTGGACGTATTTGTCACATTTTGACGAAGCGCAGATGAGTCCATCTTAAAACTGTGTCAGTCGTTGTTAAAACCACTGTTAGAATCACGACAATAATACMCTTTGTTAATTACAATGAGACAAATAAAACAAATTACAGTTATCTTCTTCTTACCTTTTGCTGCTAATAATACCCCAAAAGTAGCTTTGAATGCTGCACAAAAGTTTAATCTGCGAGTGTCGGAATATCAAGAGATGTCATCAAAACATTCATAATCTGTTTTGCTCCCTGCATCTTTGTTTAATTAGGTTTATTTTCAATGCGTTGAGTAGCTCTTTGKTTTGTACCCTTTGATAAACAGTCCCAAAAGACTGATGTATGCTGTTTAAGTCCTCCTTTACGAAGTTTTTTTTTTTTTTATGGTTGACAGTTAACGATACAGACTTTTAAAAATCGTGTTTTTGGAGCATGTTGGAGGCTGTTGTGAATGTAATAAGGCAATCTTTACATTATATTTACRCTACAATCAAGAGAAACATAATGCTCGTCTTCAAATGTGTTTACATCTATCTTTTTTAATTTGTATGTTAATAAAACGGAAAATTAAAATATAAAGTATTTTTGTATATACAAAGCCACGTTCTCCTCACTATTAACAGCAACATTGTGACCAAATTTAAAAAGTAATATAGCATGTACGCTTTGAGGATATTTTTTTCTTAAAACATAAAATAATCCTTTATTTAAATTATCCTTATTCATAAGGAAATCATGTGTTGTATGTTAGGTGAAGTCGCTTAAAGTTACTACTTTTGAAATAATTTCAAGCAATCGAAATCTTGTATTTTTTTCGATCTTAAATTGGTAACTTTATCTGCAATTAATATCATCAATTAATTATTTTAAAATTTCTTACTCTCGATGAGTTTTTGGGTAATTAAATCAGTAGCACGCAATTTTCAAATATCACCAGCATTTCAAAATGTGTTGACAAAAGCAAWTTTCATAATATTGATATATGGTATTTAAGCCAAATAACGGGCGCAAGGTGTACTGATATTTGTTTATATAGTGTAGTACAACTAGCCWTTTACAAATAGAAAAAGAAGTGTTCGTTGGCTAACAATGTCGGATTATTTTMAAATGGTGGGAACTAGCGGTAAACTAGTGTGAGCTGCGTCGGTGTTTCTAAAGAAACAGTTGTGTAAAAAAGATAAGTTTAACACCGTAAAAAAGTATGGGAAATAACTTACTGACGTTTCGGATGTTAATCCTTCGTCGAACAACGACCACAACTATTTTCAAATGATTGCCGGAACGAAAAAGCTAGAGTTACTGCGCAAGAAAATCGCAAATTCGCAAAAGTTGCAAAGGGAATGCAAATAAAAATYCATCAAAGAYACACATAGGGAAGCTTATTATTAAAACATATTATGAACTTCTAAATAATTTTAAAGCTTCTGTATTTATGAATGTAGAACAAACAACGTATACACACTTTCTCAACAGAATGCAAGAAAGGGAGAGTTGATTTTATTGAAGCTATATGTAACTAAAACCCACCTTTCTTAAGAACTGACTTCCATATATGGTTATCTTACCGTATTTGGAAGTAGACTTAGCAATTTTTGAGCAGTTGGTGCTTAAAAATTGCTGAAACTTCCAGAGTTTGTAGAGAATGAGAAAAATAATGTCGAATCCTTGAAGGCGTTCCAGTTATCAAAAGCGAAAACGCGGTGTATAGTAGGAGTTTCGGTGACGGTGTTTGTCACACGTGCTAGCCAATTTCAAACATCAGCACATAATGAGTATAACAATGTAAAATTTAAGCTGCGCTCTAAATAATTTCTTTTACTATTTAGAATTATTTGAGGTTGTGGTACGAAAATTGTGCGACCACAAATGATATTTCGAAAGGGTTCTAGTATTATTACGTATATGAGAACATAATTCACATTGGGTGCAAGAACTGGCTATCACATTCAATGTGACATAAAACATAAACAAGCCATATCAAACACTTTGCTTCGGAGAAAAATTCATTCGTTTGCCAAACTTTTGCTGACCATATATGGCAATCTTACCTTATAAGGAAGTACATTAGAAAGTTTTTTTCACGTTTTTTCCACCTTTTAGTGCTTTACAATTGCTAAAACAGAATTTGCAGAGAAATTGTTTTTAAACATGTCGACCATTATAAATTTTTCCTAGTCCCCTCCAATCCTTGAAAATAAGGAATCCCACAAAAATAGCACAGGTAGCCCGAGCGGATGTTAGACAATTGTTTGATATGTTTAATACCGCCATATGTTTGCAAGCATTGTTTCTTTGGGTCTCAAAAGTGGCATAACGACATAACAGTGACATAAACATAAGCACAGTCATAAGGATAAAGAATGGAAAATTTTCCATGCCCTTTCGTTCACAAAATCAGTAAATATAAGGGTTAATAARTAATTCATGTACAATGAATAGCATTTGAGCTCAATTATTCATTTGAGAAGTCATTGTAAGTCACTAAGAATATTGAAAGGATTATTTGTTTTAAGTGCAGCTCTTTCTTAATTGTACCAGTTGTACCGAGTTTACTGGAATTATATCGGTACAGTTCAGCATAACATTGAGACACACTTCAAACAATGACTTAAAATGCACTTGTTTGCTTGACTTTCTATATTTTGTAATCTTACCTTATGTTTAAGTACCTACATTAGTCCTTTGAAGTTGTTTTACGAGCCGTTAAGGGTTGCAAACTGCCCAAACTTTCCAGATATTGTACAGAACGAGAGAATTCACACGTCGGCCATGTTTGAATTCCACGAGAAACCTGGACTACACTAAAACCACAGGGAGCCCAGCCGAATGGTAGCGAATGGAATGGAAGTGAGTGTTCAAGAATTTATCAAAACGTTTATGAAAATAAGGAATTTACGAGAAAAAAACCCTGAAAGACTGAAAATGTCATGAAATAAAATATATATATAAAATAAAATAAAAGCATACGAGCGTATGCACTTTTCCGTTTCAATATGCAAAATTCAAGATGGCGGCCCAAAAAATTGGAGAATGAAAACATTTTGATTGGGATTCCTGTGTCCCCTTACATTTGCGTGACTTCGGCGTGACAACTGTGCATTTTCAATATGGCTGCATTTCACGTGCTTTTCTGTGCTTTCATAGCAATTTACACTTCTCAAGTACAGGCAGCAAAGATTTTGCTTTACCCAGGGTTAGGAAAAAGTCACATCAGGGGAATGACTCGAATTGGACAAGAACTCGCAAAGAGAAATCACGAGGTAATCCCTGTAAATCCCGACTGAGTTTCCAGTTCTGCAAGCATCGTGATCTTTTTGCCATCATAAATTATCATCCCAAAGAGTCTTCTTACAGATCCTGATCTAATAGTTCGTTTAATTCACTCAAAAGTCTGGAATCCCTCATCTGATCGCTTGTTTCTTGTTACGACCCATAGCAGTTCAAGCAAACAAACTTGTAACTTGTTTAACTTTGGGCTGCCCCTTTCTCTAAAATGSATATTTTCTCTGAAACTCTGGGTATACATGTAGATATTTAGTTTATTTTAAATTCAACGGTTCATAAAATACTGAATTGTTTAAAATTTGYTTAGTTATAAAATTTCAGCTGAAATTATATATATGCATAGAGGCTCGTGTTGAATGTAAACAAAGCACTGTATTTCCGTTACCAGGCTGGGCTGCTGTCATTTTTATTCCTGATAACCTAGATGGGCTGTAATATGTAGTTTGTATACATATACATAGTCCAATGCTAAAGTTATTCTTTTTACTGAAGTTCAAATGTTATATTTCTCTATGACAATTTTTTTGCAATTACTGCAATTAGGTGTGTATATTTTCAGGGCCGTAACCAGAACTTAGAACTACTATTTGATTAAACCGGAACATTCTTTGCCTTCCTTCTGATTTTAATGATTTGACCTCTTGTGTAAGCTACAATGTAGTTACAGGGCAACACTTACTATGGCCTGTTYTTTTGTGTATTCAAATATTTTTGAAATCCACATTGGAAGGCTTTAACTATGAAGGATATTCACTCGGCAGCCCAATTTCTAAGGGATTGATCTTGAAAAATATAATACTTCATTATCTATTTGATTTTCTTTGTGTCCGAATAATAAAAATCCTGGTRTTTTGTTGTATAAAAGATTGGTACTTTGAGTTTAAACTCGTACTTCATTATCATTATTAACCAATATTACCATCATCATTATTATCACTATATTGCCCGTATAATCATTATCAATATCATTGTCATCATTTAATACATCCCTTGCATGTGACGTCAAAGCAGCTTCATCTGGAGGACAAAGCAAAAGATTTTTTTATCCTCTTGGAAACAAAAATTCATTGCTTTGTCCTCCATTTGGAGGTCAATTCCCATGAACTGCAAGAAGTCTATATCATGTGGTTATCAAGAGTTAATAATGACACCCAGTCATTATTTCAATCACAATAGTTGTCAATCATTCAGCTTGTATCATACTTTAAAAGGGACTAAATTATTAATATTCTCATCAAAAGCATCATTTCCCAAAATCCTTATTATTCTTATTATCAATGATTATTATTATCAATAGTCTCCTTAACCGTTTCTCTGTGTCATCTTGAAATGTAGCATTGCTTTGACATGGACAAGACAACCATTGATAATGCAACCTACAGACAGTTATTCTCAGGTATTTATCATTGCACTCTCAATGGCCGTCTCATTTCAATACAAAGGCATGGCTACCTTTTAAGATGGGGTGCAGGTGACCATAAAAGAACCTTAATATTACCACCATCAAAAGCTATGATAATTATGGTCAATCCCCAAATATGGATAAGTTTTCTTGAAAAGATATCTCATAAGTGAGCTTAGTAAACATGAGAAGATAAAATCCATATCTCCAAGTGACCATGACATTTTCTGTTTGTCATTTAACAAATTGCACAAAGTTTCTAGGTGTCATCTTATTGACACACTTTTAACACCATAAAAAGTTCAAAACTCAAGTTGACACACTACTGCATCAAATTCAGTGTATCTATGGTACAGCAATAGTGCGGACCAACAATGCATTTCAGTCTTAGAGCTCACTTTCCCATATCAGTATTCAGAATCCAACTTTTCCTTTTATTTTTTATTTTTAGGTGACCATCCTCTTGGGCTCTGCTGATAAAGTTAAGAAAACCAACGACCTAACGTACGCTATATACAAAGTTCCATATGAGGAGGATTTCCTGGAAAAAGTCTTAGTTGCAACTGCAATGAAAGGGGGTGTAATGGAATCCCTCTTTGGAAATGCTAGTACAACAGTTGTTTTTGGTGTATACTGCAAATCGTTATTAGATGACAAAAAGCTAGTGGACTCATTCAAAGACTACGATTTGTTAATCAACGATGGTTCTTTTTACTGTGGAGCACTATTTGGGGCGGTTCTTGGAATCAGGAGGATCGAATATATCCCATGTCCTCCTCGTTTACCCCACATACATATGCAAAATGAMAATATTCTCAAGTTGTCTTATCTGCCACAACTGCTCTCTCAGAATCCAGGAAAAATGAACTTTTTGCAACGTTTGAAAAATGTTATTGTGTTCTGGATGCTGAAGGGATTAAACACGGCTTTATTTAAACCCTTGCTTGTGCAAATGAAGGCAGAATATGGAATCAAACCGGAGAAAAGTTTAGTTGAAATATTCGATGATAAAGAATTGACTCTGTTCATGTCGGACTTTGCATATGAATATCCTCAGCCAATGAGACCAGGTAAGGGCAATATCTGATGAAGGCAAATCAGGTCGATAAGAAGGCAAAGAAGTTTGATCAGTAGCCAAGGTAGGAAATTTGAGGAAACTAGATAGGTATACAGCTATTTCATAAAGCGTTGAATACTGAAAAGTCCACAGGTAATACTAAACCTTAAGACAGCAATGCATTACTGCTATCAAACTCAATCTTATCTACTTTACATAATGACAATTCTTAACTTAATTCGTTCAATTGAAGTTCTGGGCTGTTACGGAACTGGAGCCACGACAACTCGTCACATTGACGGCGATCGCCATCAATGCATTTCGGTCTATCTTCAGTATTCAACCTTTTCTGTATATTTAAAGTGTATTAGGGAGCATTAGCCATCTCTTCTGAAGGAGCGAATTCAAGGGGGTTGTAAAGTCCTACCTAGATATAATTAATATACATATAGCAATACATGTTCATGTAACTTGCATAATTCAGGCGGATTGACAGACCAACACAAGATTTATAGATGTGCCACATTCCTATAAAAATTTCTTGATCCGACCCTGCTTTTGTTCAGTGTCTCAAGTGCGCTATAGTAACAGTAACACAGGAATCAATTGTACGAAAGGGTGAATTAGGAGCGCTATCATCTGGATAAATCTGGGCAATTATTGCGCCATTTCCGTGTCCCTGATCGGACCTAAAGCATTTCCTTTTTTAAGATTACAAGTCAATTGGCCCTGTGAGCATCCAGCCCGTACAGCCACTACCCTCTTGTCTAAGACAAGAGATCAAGAGTTCTGGTGATGACGGAGCCATTATCGTGTCTTTTGGATCCAACGTAGCTTCAGTGTTGGATAAAGACAAAGTTGACATCATGGCTGAGGCTTTTGGTAGATTAAAACAGAAAGTGATTTGGAGACTTCAAGGTAGGATTGATTTTGTTGGAGGATTATTTATCAAGTCTAAGCAGACCTCTTTGATCTAAGACASCTTTTCAGATATCTTTTGAGTGAATTATGGGTTAAGTTTTGCCTCAAGCTCTCATTTCAGTTCATTTTATTTAATCGCAGGATACAAACCATCGTCTCTTTGTGATAATATAATCGTTCGTGATTGGATACCGCAGAATGATCTATTAGCCAATGAGAAGCTACGTGCCTTCGTTTCTCACGTTGGTATGAATGGCATGTACGAGACATTGTATTACGGGGTGCCTGTGGTTGCTATACCCTTATATGCAGATCAGTTTGACAACACAGCGCAAATGGTGGAGAAAGGAGTCGCTTTGACTGTTGATTACAACAATCTAACGGTTGACGATTTGTACAACAAAATACAACGTGTTATCCATGAACCAAGGTGCTGAATTTGACTGCATTTATCGTTAATATTAATTATATAGAGGCCTGGTGTCCATAAGATCGCCCCAATCACCAATAAATGCGTTTTTGTATTCTTGCTTCTTTGAGGGATTAAGAATGGCAAACTATATTTTGATAAGATTGAGCAATAGCCTTCTTCACGGTTCCCTGCGCCATCTTGAAAGGTAGCCGTGCCTTTGTATCGAAGCGAGACCACCGTTGAGCGTGCATTGATAGAAACCTTCTTTCTTACCTACAGACAATCTGTCGTCTCGCTTCGATGTAATGGCACGGCTATCTTTTAAGATGACGCACATAACCGTGAAGGGAACTATAGGCCAATAGAATGATTTTGATTGTCGTTTGCCCCCAGTAAAGTGGAGTGATAGACATGATTGTCATGAAAATATTTCTTGTTTTTAGTTTCCGCGAAAACGCCCAGCGCATTTCACGCCTGATGCAAGACCGTCCACGTAGCCCGGTCCAGGAGGCTGGTGACTGGATAGAGTACGCCCTTAGACACGAGAGTCTTGCACATCTACGTCCGTACTCCACCCAACTTCCCTGGTACCAGTATTTCCTGGTAGATGTAGCAGTGTTCCTGGTCTTGGTAGTTTTGGTKGTGRTTATGGTGRTWAAGTACACAGTTCGATTAATGTGCTGGATGTGCTGTCGACGAGACAAGAAACAGAAAACTCAATGATACTTCTACGTCTTTAATCAAGCTAGTCAAAAATACAAAAACCTTTTGAACTTGTTTTTGCTTTATTCGCGGGAGATTATCGCGGGAAGTTGATTTAGGGAGAAAAATTGATGTAAGAGATAGGAAAGAATAGACCTTCGGGTAGACTTATCAAAAAGGATACTAGCTCCTGTGAAATGGCGTCGAGTATTACTCTATTTCCAATCTTTGTGAGTTCCCAGATCAAAAGATCGACCTCATCACCCAACACCATGTGTCAATCCAGTATATTATGGGATGGCCAAGCTTGGGTCGCTAAAAGGCCGATTTAGAGGGTAAATTTTTTGCCTACAACCATCGCATGCTATTGTATCCATGTTGTAAGGATAACTTAGAAATGTTGCATGCGATGCGGGTTGTAGGCAAACGTTGTGTCACGTAAACAATGTTTGATGGTATTTGATGGGACTTCAGTCCAAGCATTGTCTATTATTTCGGTTTATAACATTTTTCCCTTCGTAAACCTCGACAACTTCTTCATGGTTAGGAAACACTCCAAACCTGCGATTGCATGCTATTTGATGAATTTTTGAAATATTTTTTTAGTTAAATTGCTAAGATTTCAAAGAATCCATATGCCTTAGCAAACAATTCTGGACGCAATTTGTCATAAAGAAATCCAACAAACATTATATATCATTAGTCATACAATATAGAAATGATATAAAGCCTTCTGGTGGGATTCCTGTGTCTTCTTGCTTTGCATGACCTCCGTTACTCAGTTTTCGAAATGGTTGTAACAATTCAAGTGCTTATCAGTGCTTTCATAGCAATCTACACTGCTCAAGTGCAGTCAGCAAAGATTGTACTTTACCCAGGGTTTGGGAAAAGTCATATCTTGGGAATGACTCGAATTGGACAGGAACTCGTGAAACGAAATCACAAGGTAACCCTGAGTTATGTGACCTGTGTAATTTATTATTATTCAAAAACGCCTAAATAAACAACATGTAAGGTTTAAAAATTACATATCTGTGAAATACGCCCTGACTGCTAGATTCGATGTCACTCAAACATCAGACAAAGATTCACGAGTAGTTTCTTGTTTTTAAGACGTGCCGAATAAAACGGCTTGTGTATGGCTGTGCAACGGCACGGACACGGTACGGCACTGTCACGGACTTTTACCTCTAGTGATTCCAAATCAAAAAAAAGATTCAACAATACATCACCGCTACGCCGGCGCGAAGTTGCGGTGTTTTTTGCACAGTCATACAAAATCTGCTCTAATGACAAAAGTAAATTTTTACGGCTACAGTGGAATTCAATGAGCTCAGCTTTTCATAGTCATTACTAATGGTCAAGTATAAGAGTGTGTGTTAGCATAACCATGCATCAATAGAGCATGCTGGATTTGAAATAAAATCAATGAGGTTCAGTCGTGATGATAACACAAACCAAATCCACAGTCGACTAGAACTATATTAATAGAGAGAGAGAMCTTCCAGAGTCTTACATGRCTTACATWAAGTTAAATCTCGTCAAGTTCACTCGACTGCAGGAAATACACACCTTAAAAAAACTATAAAAAGCATGCAATAGGTCATTGCATTCACCCTGTTTTCATTACAGACCAATATACGCTATAAGCATTAGGGGTGAAAACAATAGAGTACAAACATTAAATATGTGCAACACTTGCCACTATTTACTACAAAATAGTGTTAGAATTAGCATAATTAAGCAGTATTTATAGGGGTATTTATGTTGCAGAGTTTTAATGTTTGTAGAGTGATCGCACTTAATCCGTGCAACTGTACAAAATCTAAGTAGTATTGCTTTGTATTAAAAGTGGACCTGAAGCAAGACGGTATTGAATGCTTCATTTGTATCAATTCAATTTTATTTGTGTACCGCATGCACGATTTACTAAATACAACTAAATAGAACTATTTAGTTTGTAAAGTTGCATGGATTAAGTGCGATCACTCTACTCTAGTCTACTCTAGTTGTTCGGACTAGAAAGAATTAAGAATAATTAGAATATTATTGGGTCTTATGCTAGTTGCTATGCTTGTGTTGATGTCTAATGCTACACGCTTGACTTCATTCCTTGTGCTGGGCTTAAGCCTATGCTTTTGTCCTTTCGAAAACCAGGCCTTATGCTGGTTTTTAATCTCACTTTCGTGCAGTAGTTTAGAGAACCAATCACAGATCGGAGTAATATGATCTGTTATCTCTGATGARATCTTATTGGTTAGTTTATTTGACATGTTTGACAGCTAAAATACAGCATGAGAGTGAGATTGCCTGCGCTTGGCGTAAAAACAAAACCAATTTTCGGCGTTTCGCGGCTCGATAACGTAGAAAGCAAAAATATAAGACAAGCCCGCTCTGTAAACAGGGTAGTTCATACGATGATGTCACAGTTTATTGTTTGTTTGATAAGGTAACTATTCTCGTGGGATCCCCTGACAAGGTGAAGAAAACCAGTGAGCTGACCTACGCGACTTACAAAGTTCCATATGACGAGGATTTCCTGGAAAAAACCATGGTTCAAAATGCTATGAAAGGAAGTATAACGAACTGGTTTTTCGGAAACAGTAGTGCAGTCGTTGTTATTGAAGTATACTGCAAATCTTTACTGAATGACAGCAACTTAGTAAATTCATTCAAAGACTTCGATTTGCTGATAAGTGACGCTGCCTTTTATTGTGGAGGCCTACTAGCAGCACATCTCGGAATCAAGCGAATTGATTATTTCCCATATCCTCCTCGATTTCCACGCAGCTTTTCACAAGATGAGACTTTTCTCACGTTATCTTATCTACCGCAAATTCTTTCGCGGAATCCAGAGAAAATGACCTTTTTGCAACGGCTGAAAAATGTTGCGGTGTTTTGGGGGATGCAAGGAATGTTCATAGTTTTATTTCAACCAATGTACACGCGCCTTAAAGTGGAATATGCAATCAAGCCAGAGAAAAGTGTTGCTGATATCGTCAACGATAAAGAATTGACTTTGTTCATATCGGAATTTGCATTTGAATATCCTCAGCCATTGAGGCCAGGTAAGCTTTGTGAACAGTTTAGGGGCGGATCTAGKGTGCCAGGGGGRCCGTGACTACCTTTTGGGAAATTCCTGATTAGATATAGAAAGACATGTTCATATATGACCTGCATAATTCAGACAAATAGACAGACCAATACAAAATATATAAATGTGCCCCTTCCACCTCTCCCTTCCAAAATTCCGGATCCGCCCTTGCAGTTTGATAGGACAGATTACAGGAAGGAAAATCAACAAGACCTTAGGCAAAAGGAAGGGCAGAGAAAGTTAAAGAAGAAACCWAAAAGACATGTAACGATGGATRTCTTTATCTTATGAATTTACAGCAAGATGTACAATAATGTGGAAGACATAAACCAACCTTATGGAATATACAATCTCCTATACATCATCAAATGAGATATATTCAAAGCCTATGCAACGGGATAACTCTGTGTTCATCCTTGCAACACCGTATGAAATACAGATTCCTTTTTTTTTTGTATTATTATTTCTAGATTACAAATGCATTGGGCCTGTTACTATCCAGCCTGTCCAGCCCCTCCCCCCTGATCTACAGCAGTTGATTGACAGTTCTGGTGATGAAGGAGCCATCATCRTATCATTTGGATCCAACGTGGCTTCATTGTTTGATAACGACAAAGTTGACATCATGGCTGAGGCTTTTGGTAGATTGAAACAGAAAGTTATCTGGAGGCTGAAAGGTACAATTTCTTAACTATATCAGGAAATTACAAACTACAGCTACTTGACCAGAAACTCTTGGTCAAGTATTTGGTCAAACAAGGAATTTGAAGACAAAATTGTTCAAAGACTGCAATATATTTGTTTCGACGAAGTCTTCGCCCGAATTTCTCAAAAAAAAAATCATTTCATTTTCTTATTTAATCGCAGGATATATACCATCGTCCCTTCGTGATAATATAGTTGTTCGTGATTGGATACCACAGCACGATCTATTAGCCAATAAGAAACTGCGCGCCTTTGTTTCTCACGTTGGTATGAATGGMATGTACGAGACATTGTATTACGGGGTACCTGTGGTGGCTATGCCCTTATACGGAGACCAGTTTGACGACGCAATTGAGATGGTGCAGAAAGGAGTCGCTTTGTATGTTGATTACAACAATTTAACGGTTGACGATCTGTACAACAAACTGCAACGTGTTATCCATGAACCAAGGTGCCAAAATTGATTTTAGCAACGTTAGTTATAATTCATTATTAAAGAATCATAGCCAACCGCCGTGCCTTGCGAGCTCAAGCGCCATTTTAGGTGAACACGAAAATGGAGGATTCGTAGGATTTCTTAAAGTGAGCGCGAATCGTCTTCCATCCTTTCAGTTTGGACAGAAATACATTTAACTACGTACCTCACAGGTACTATCAATCTATACTTTATTGTATGCTTTTAAACGCATTTAAACCTATGTAATAATACGAGAGCGCAAGATATACGGCGGTTGGTTATGATTCTTTAATGGATGTGATTGTCGGTGTCCCCTGTAGTGTGGAGAGGACCATCTTTTGTAATACATATACAGTTTGATTGTGCTGAGATTACTTTTCTTGATTCCAGTTTTCGCGAGAAAGCGGAACGCATTTCACGCTTGATGCAAGACCGTCCACGTAGCCCGGTCCAGGAGGCTGGTGACTGGATAGAGTACGCCCTCAGACACGAGAGTCTTGCACATCTTCGTCCGTACTCTAGTCAGCTTCCCTGGTACCAGTATTTCCTGGTAGATGTAGCAGTGTTCCTGGTCTTGGTAGTTTTGGTTGTGATTATGGTGATAAAGTACACACTTCGGTTGATGTGCTGGATGTGCTGTCGACGAGACAAGAAACAGAAAACTCAATAACATTTTTACGCAAAAGTTGTGTCGCCTAAATCGAACTTAGCGATGTTTGATGGTATTTGATGTGACTTCAGAATCAATGTCCAAGCATCAGGGGCGGATCCAGGATTTTTTTTAGCGGGGAGGGGCCCTAAAATTGCGCGAACTTTTGGCGTGGATTTTGCATGATGGATTTTTTCGGAGAACGTATCAAATAGAGCTTTCCCACTAAAATTAGCGAATTAATTAGGAAACAAGCTAATTCAATTGTTATTTATTTGTTTAAAGTGCAACTGAACCTTCCAAAAAGTCATTTCATTCGAAACAGAACATGCTGTTAAGCACTTCTACAAAGGGAAAAAACTTTCAAATTTATATCTTCTGATATCATATATATAACTAGCTCTACACTTTATGTGTATTGAGCACTCTTTAATGGGATCAGCTACTTCCTCATACGATTATCTTCTGATTTAGAAATATTTGAAAATCGGAA